TTCTGTCCTTCTTCATACCAAGTGCATTGTGTGTCAGAACTTGGTGGGATGGGTTAGGACAGGGACCTGTGTTTGACATCTCTGAGCTGGACTCCTGGGCATCTTGCAGAAGTTCTAAGCCCCATTGCAGGTGGTTTTCCAGCAGGATTAATTTCCTCTGCAGTAATCAGAAGAGTGCCTTCCTTCTCTGTGTATTGTATCTTAGTTCTGCTGCCCCAGTTAAGGAATGCTTTGGTTAATCAACAGAGCTGTGAAGTGAAGCATCACCAGCAGACAGGGGAGCAATAACATGATTATGCATAGTTCCTGTCTCAGTTCCATTCCAGCCTTGTTTACAGGCTCTGAGTGGTTTCCCTGGGGTCACCAGGCAGAGCACGCTGAGGTGACGCAGCCAGCTTTAAATAGTTGGTTATTGATGGGCCTGAAGGCCACGAAAAACCTGGGCAAAGATGGGGACTTGCTCAACTGAGTCACTGGAAAGGGTAATGAACAAAATTCACACCTCTGAATCTCTGTATTTGTAATTAATATGTTTTCTACTTCGGTTCACTGTGGGCATTTTTCCCTGAATTTGTGCATTTGGTTTCCTGTGCAAAGGAATGATGTCTAGGGAATCATTAGGGGCTCATTTCAGTGCTTTTCTCATGGATTCAAAGAATACCTAGTGACAACCTGAAATCTTTCTCTGGAGATCCTGGTTATCCAGCTGCTTCCTTGGGCTCCACTGTACCCTTCACAGAAGCTTTGCACTAAATAATTTTACACACCACTGACAGTTTGTGTTTCACTTGATAAATTCCTGTTCATTGCACTAGCAATAAGGAAAATCCATTCTGTGGAGCTGTTTGGGATCACTCTCCAGAAAGCATTCCCTCCCCATCACTCCTGTCATTACGTTGTTTTCCTGAATAAATTCAGTGTCTCTTCTCTGTATAATTTTTGACCTAATTTCTTCCTTCCGTGCTTGTGTGGCCAGTACACCAGGTGAGCTCCAGGGGAATTGTTGCCCAGATCAGCTGGTAGTTGTCTGCAGCAGTTAGTTGAGCCCCCCAGCCCTGCTGGGCTCTGGGCTGCTGCAGGCTCTGTGAGAACTCCCTGCAAGGGGCACGGCCACAGTGATGCTGCTCCCTGGGCTGCGCCAGCAGCTGTCCTCAACAGCCCCAGAGCTTTCTGGAAAAGGGGTCTCTGCTGGTGGGCACAGGGACAATCCCACGGCCAGAGCCAGGACCTGTGCAGGAGCAGGAGCTGCTCCCTCTGACATCACCAGCATTCCTCCTCAGCTGAACTCCAGCAACGCGGGCAGCACCGTGCCACTGGAAATGTGCTACCTCTGGTACAAAATGCACTGCTTGGAGCTAATTGTCATTTCCACTGCTGCAGGAAACGGCTTCTGGGAGCTCAGGAAATGCCAGCTGCTTCAGGCTCCTCACACTGGGGATGCAAACGCTGTTACTCCTGTGTGAAAGCTGAAATATTCCCGTCCTGTGCTGCTGATAGCCCTGCACACTGCAGGGTGATGCTCCCGAGGATACACCCTGGGACTGCACGTGCCAGGATGGAGAAAATCAATCTCTGTTAATAAAAAAAGGCAGGCTCACTGGCGCAGAAAATCACTACTCTGGAGCCTTAACGAGGCTCCTTCAAAAATTCATGATTATAAAATGGAATCCTGGGCTACATTATAGTTCTGAAAGAAATTGGGATATGGAGGGAAAAAAATCCAATTTTCATTAAGTGGAGAAAATAAAGGATAAATCCTGTACACAGACATAGTCATTGATCACAAGGAATATAATTACATGCTCAATATATAAGAACATTTTCCAAGTTTCCTGAGTACACAATACTTTTCTTGAATACTTTTCAAAGTTAAATTTTCTTTTCTTGCTGTTTACTCATGCCTCTAGCACTCAGTCCATCTAAACAAAATCTGTAATTGTTCTAATAAACTGCTGTAGGGTTTGTTCTGTCTGGGACTGAACAATCCCAGAACAATATTTGAACAATCTGGGATTGCTCTAATATCCTGCTGCAGGATATTCGACCTGTGGTGAGAAGAAACATTGAACAAACCCAGTCCTGACCTCATGGCTTGAAGAATTTGCTGGTGGCCCCTGCTGATGGTCTCCAGAGTGCCCATTCAGAATGCAATAAATGGCAGGGAGCAAACAGCTCCTGCCCTGTGCCCTGAGCATCAGCCATCCCAGCCAGGGCTCTGAGCACTTCCCCACCCACAGGCTTCCCCTTGTCCTGAACCCCTGCTCCACAGTCATTTGGAGAACAGAATAATTAATTAATAATAATTAAATAATAATAATTAGCACGCAGTCCTGCAGGGTAGGTGGGTGTGATGGCTGATAATTTGGAGGGGGTTTGGCTTCAGATATGTCTTCTGCACATACAGCAGGAGGAATTCCAGATTGGCTTTCATGATGTTTTAGCTTTCAGGCTTGGCATTCTGTAATGTAGCCTGAATTATTTTAGAGATAATCTAGTCAGCTGTCTGGAAATACAGCTACTCTGGGTGTATAAAAAAGGCCACAGGGCTTTTTTACCATATTATCGTATACCAAATTATTATTTTTTAATTATTCTTCACATGTTCAATGCAGCTACAGATTTGTTCATGAAGGAACCTCTCAGTAGTTCATCTGATCAGCTCAAAACCAAGAAGCAGCCCTGACAGTTCATCTTCCTGCTTACTTGAGCGTGGCTGAGTCACGACCACAGCGACTCCAGCACTGTCTTTCCCTTTTATTTGTTCATTCATTCATTCAGTGTTAAGGGTGGCTGTGTGAGGGGCTTGGGTGACTGCAGTTTATTGTCATTTAGGTGCCATCATCAGTGACTTTTGAGGTAAGCAGAGATGGAAATAGTATTTCACAGAAAGAATTCTTTTCATCTGTTTTGAGTAATAATGTATCCATAACACTGGACTCTCCAGAACTCATTGGCATCGTTTTCATTGCAAGGGTGGGCTAAAAGGACAGCTGAGAGACAGGAGAAACCTGGCCTTGGATAATCAACACTTGTGTTTGTAAACCTCCCATGGGACTGGCTGTGTGAGCTGGAAAGCGTTGGTGTCAGTTGGGAATTGATTTCCCTGGGATGCCTGGGTGCTCCAGGAGGGATTTCCAGGAGGGATGCATTTCCCTGGGATGCCTGGGTGCTCCAGGAGGGATTTCCAGGAGGGATGCATTTCCCTGGGATGCTCTGGGGTGCCTGGATGTGTTTGTAAACCTCCCATGGGACTGGCTGTGTGAGCTGGAAAGCGGAATTGATTTCCCTGGGATGCCTGGGTGCTCCAGGAGGGATTTCCAGGAGGGATGCATTTCCCTGGGATGCTCTGGGGTGCCTGGGTGCTCCAGGAGGGATTTCCAGGAGGGATGCATTTCCCTGGGATGCCTGGGTGCTCCAGGAGGGATTTCCAGGAGGGATGGATTTCCCTGGGGTGCCTGGGTGCTCCAGGAGGGATTTCCAGGAGGGATGCATTTCCCTGGGGTGCTCTGGGGTGCCTGGCAGCCTGGGCTGCACCTGCAGGGCGCTGGCAGGCTGGGCTGGGCTCAGCTGCAAACTCAGAGCAGCACAGCACTCCAGGAGAGCGGAGGGAAAAGCAGGAGTGAGGGAGGGGTTCTGTGTCTTTCCTTGTGTCCCCACAGTGTCCCCTCCGTGTCAGGGGCTCTGGGCTGCTGCTCCCTGAGAGCTCCAGAGGAGATGCTCGGGTTCTGTTTGCAGTCTGACCCTCTGCTGCTGTGTACAAGCGAGCCTTTTGTACCCACAACAGCTCCAAATTACTGTACATAAACCATAATCTGCCAGTGGGAGCACTGTAGTTTTCCATTTTGCTGCTAATTGGATGATACCCTTGCAATAGTCTTTGTTACCATGGCTGGTGCTGGGCAGAGAACAGTGAGGGAAGGCTTTTATGCAGAAATCTTACAAAAATGCAATGACTATCCCTATTTGACAGCAATTGAAACCAATTGTCAATTAACTAAATAACAACCAATTAGCTTAAAGGAAAAAAAGAAGAAAATTGCTTGCTTCACATCCTTTGTTGAAGCAAATGCCAGTCAGAGAATGGGAGCTTTTTTCTTTCTCTTGTAATGACAAAAGGCCAAGATGTGCAGAAAATGCAGAGTGGTGGGTTTCTTTTTTTTCCTAATACCATCCTTTTCTCACATGAGAATATTTTAGAAACTGGATAAGAATATCTCCAGCTCCTGAGACATTTAATTTCCTGTGATATTTTAAAATCAAAATTACAATCATTATACCAGCACAGTTTTTCCTCCTTTCTTCCATGCCTCTGCAGGGTACTGTAAGCACGAGGGCAGCTCCCCTGCAGCTGGCTGCCTTCACAGGGGGAGGCCAGCAAACATCTGGCTGCTCTGTGGTGCAGCCTGAGGCACCATGAGCTGTTAACATCTGCATGGCCAGACCAGACCCTTCCTCTTCATATTTTAGAGTGCAGAGGTGAGGTGTTGCCGGGCGTTGTAAGGGTCGAAGGCTGAAGGAGCAGGGCTGTTAGGGTTGGGGAGAGACACGCACTGGCTGCTGGCATCGTGCCCTGCCCTGCCCTGCCCTGCCCTGCCCTGCCCTGCCCTGCTCTCTGGCGCAGCTGAGGGCAGCAGCTGATGCACAGAGCACCCTGCGGGCTCTCCCTGCCTGCAGGGCTGCACCACAGCTGCTCCCGGGGTGACACAGCTCCGTGTCTGCCTGACACCCGTTAGCTGCATCAGTCAATAAATCCTCTACTTTTTACTCATTGTTCACAAAGATCTTATTACATTCTACTCAGAGCTGCTCACAGCATCACTTCACAGGCTGCAAATTGTGTTACTCCTTTGTTAATACCTGTAGGACCCGTGTTTCATAACTGGATGGTTGAGGATGAGAGGTATGACTTCTGCCCGTTCAGAAAGTGGTGGATGTTGATGCTTTTTCATTAACTGATGTGAGATTTGGCCTGCATGTGTTGATCTCTTGCTTTCTTACAGGAGCATTTTACACCTGAATGCAAGTTCAAAGAATCAGTATTTGAAAACTACTACGTGACATACTCCTCAATGATCTACAGACAGCAGCAGTCTGGCCGGGGTTGGTATTTGGGTCTTAACAAAGAAGGAGAAATAATGAAAGGAAACCACGTGAAGAAAAATAAACCTGCAGCACACTTTCTTCCAAAACCCTTAAAAGGTAATTGCTTGGGTTTGCTCCGTTTATCTGAACTGATGCTGTGCTGTGTTTAGTTCCTGTGCACACACATTTGACCTGTCCAGCTGCTTATGTAACAGGAGTGTCATGTTCTGTAAGGTGTTGGTCTCAGCAGTCCCAACAGGTTAAATCACAACTCCTGGCAGGGCTTCTTCTCTGTTCCTGAGGAAATGCTGATTTTGGTCAGCTTAGGTGTGTCCTGCAGGGCTGTGTGAGTGCAGTGGGACGGGGAGGAGTGGTTTTCCCCTTCTGTAAAATGTCAGTCCCCTGAAGAGGGTCTCAGAGGCTCTCAGGGAGAGTTTGAAGTGGAAGGGGTCTCCTTGCCCTGGGTCTTGGTCTCTCCTTGCGTGGCAGGTTGCTGGCTGAGCAGTCCCAGCGTGCCAGGGCTGGCCTCTGCCCCAGCCCAGCCGTGCTGATGTTCTGCTCTCTCTTGCCTTGCAGTGGCCATGTACAAAGAGCCTTCCCTCCACGACCTCACAGAGTTCTCCAGGTCTGGGAGCGGGACCCCAACAAAGAGCAGAAGCGTTTCAGGAGTGCTAAATGGGGGTAAATCCATGAGCCAAAACGAGTCGACGTAGCCAGGTTGAGGCCAGCCAAGTGCTCTCTAACAGAACCTTACCTCTGGATGCAGTTGAATTCTTACTCTCAGTCTTTCATCCAAACCTTCAGTTGCCCAGGACGAGGCACCGAGCTCCACAGGTCACCCGTTATCAGCCATTAGATCTTCTGGTTGGCAGAGGAAAATCCCCAGGCATGTAGAAAGTGCTTGTGCACACACCAGGCAAGGCAAGGACAGCAGCAGGCACAGCTGCGGGAACCTCCGAGAAGAAATGTCCAGCTCTTTCTCTCTCTCACTTTTTCTTTCTCTTTTTCTCTCTCTCTCCTATGCTTTGTGGAAAACGAAACTAAAACATTTCACGGCATTCACTGCTGATAAGAATTTGCTTTCCAACTCAGAAAAAGACCACTTTTGCTCTTCAAAGGAAATTTTAATGCTTGTATGTTTTATAGGGGCAAACGAAAAACAAATATGTAAACTCTGTTGTTTCCTTGGCTTACCGTTTTATATCTAAGGCTTGATAAAAAAATGTATCCTTTAATTTGGAATAGTGCAACTTTTTGATTTCTGAACTCCAATGGGTCTTTAAAGCTATGTCTTTAAAAAAATAATTCAAAATTCAGGGTTGGAACTGAGAGTTGGTGTCTCAGGCTCAAGCAAACAGTGTTCTTGTGGTTTTAAACACAATGAAATATAAATTTTTATAGATTTGTAGTTTCTGGTAAAGTTCTTGTGCTAACCCCAGTCTGTAGGAATTGAGTTGTTTTGTTATCCCAAGTGGAAGTTAACAGAAAGGGATAAAATTATCCTCCAGTGTAGATTTCTCTTAATTCCATTTTGTGTGTCATGTTAAACTATCGTTGTGGCTTCTTTTCTAAAGACAGAAACTGTGGAATTAAGGTGACTTAATTTTTTTATAAGAAACGTCTTATTTGTAAAAGTCCTTTCACTGTAACGGGCACGTGAATATTGTGTAGGAGGAAGCGTTAGGACAGGTTACCCCTAAACAACATATACTTATACATGCTATTGGAAACAATTGTTTAAAAATGTAGTTAGGTTTCCATTTAGGTCATCATGTCTGTTGCATGGGAGAAAGTTGGAATATTGGCATAGAGTTGCATGATGTGTCAGATTTTGTGCATTAATCATCGTTGGATTCTGTGCTCCAAAACTGAATTAGTTCTGTACAGGCAGCTTTCTGCCTGGTACAAAAAAGTTGTTTATTATTTGTTGTATACACAACCATGCACTGAATAAACTATTTATATTAAGATGTACTTTTTAAAAAAGCTTGTTTGATTGTATGCTGTACATCCATGGTTCACTGGAAGGGAAAAGGGTTGGCAATTAAATTATGAAGTTACAAAATGTTCAAAATTCATTGTAACTAATGTTCGGAATCTGTCTGTGTGACAGTCATTCCATACACACAGAAATTCAAACCTGCTTTGCTTTTGGGCCCTTCAGAGCTGGTCCTGCGTGCCCAGCTGAGATACTCAAACACAGCCACCTCTGGTGCCCCCGGGGCTGGAATGAGCCCTGGGCTGGGATGGGCTGGGCTGGGCTCTGCTGAGCTGAGCCGTGCTGGGCTGGGCTCTGCTGAGCTGGGCTGGACTGAGCCGTGCTGAGCTGGGCTGGGCTCTGCTGAGCTGAGCCGTGCTGAGCTGAGCTCTGCTGAGCTGGGCTGGACTGAGCTGGGCTCTGCTGAGCTGAGCTGAGTTGTGCCATGCTGAGCTGAGCTGAGCTGTGCCATGCTGAGCTGCTGGCCCCAGAGCTGCCCCTCTGTCCTGGGCCACCCCTGCTCCCTGTGTGCCCCCTGCCAGCCTGGGGGCTCCCGGAGCTCTGGCAGCTCCAGCTCTGCTGGATGGAGGCTCAGCATACCTGGGGGATGCTCAGCACTCCTGGGGAGGCTCAGCACACCTTGGGGTGCTCGGCATTCCTGGGGGATGCTCAGCACTCCTGGGGGAGGCTCAGCACTCCTGGGGAGGCTCAGCACTCCTGGGGGAGGCTCAGCACTCCTGGGGGATGCTCAGCACTCCTGGGGGATGCTCAGCACTCCTGGGGAGGCTCAGCACTCCTGGGGGAGGCTCAGCACTCCTGGGGAGGCTCAGCACTCCTGAGGGGTGCTCAGCATTTGCTGGCCATCACTGCAGCTGCTGGCTTTAACAGCCAGCTTCATCTGGCCTCCCAGAAGAAGGCTCCCATACCTTTGCTCTGGAGGGAGAACATCCCTCTCTCCTGCCTTTTCTCTCTGGAGAAAAACTTCCCAGGAAACCTTTGCTCATCTGCAGCATGCAGGCAGCTCTGACAGGTGAGCTTCACTCATCAAGGTGTTCCAAGAAGTCCTAGCAGGGACAAGTTTTCATCTTGGGTGGCTGAAGAACCAGTTCTAGAAGACAAATATGGAAATGGAGGCAAAAATCTGCCCCTAAATGTGAGGCTGAAATGAAAATGAGATATTCTGTTGTCTGCTCCGTGTTCCTCCCACCTGACCAAGCTGGAATTAAACCAGCTTTAAGGTCAGGGCTGGGAGAGGAGGGAAGGAGATTGTTTCAGATCAAACCTTGTTGTTTCATGGCAAATAGCAAGTGAAGAGCTCTGAGCTGCTCTTAGAGGGCCAGGCTCCCCCAGCTCGCCCCTTCCCAGAGGGTGAACAAAGTGGGAGCACATCCAGTGCTGCAGAAATCCTTAAAAACTGAAGATGTGGTCACAATTGCTCCAGAGGTTTTGCTAACTCAGTGGGTCTGGATCATCTCTTCCCTTCAGCTAACTGTGGGATGTCCTTGGGGAATATTTTCTTACCCCTCCCATCCCCAAACTTCAAACTCATTTGGTACATGTTCCAAGAAAGGAGCTGGAGTGCCTTGGGAACATAAAGCCTGGTTTTGAAGTAGGCAGCTTTGCAGCCCAGCTGGTTCAGTGCTGGGTGTTTCCCACCCTAGAGGTAACTGGAGCTCTGCTGCTTTGCCTCATGGCTCCAGCATTCCTGCTCCTCTCCATCCCCTGTACCTCCAGCCTGGAGCTCACCTGCAGTCAGAGGGAATTTCCTCTCTCAAATCCTGGTCTGAGCTCCGCAGTCTGACCCAGCTGTGTTGGTGCCAGCTGTGAGCATTCACTGCCACATCTCCTGTTCCAAAGCTTGCTGATGCACCCAGCTAACACAGGCTGCTCCTGGGTGGAGATGAGGACAGAGATGTGCTGATAGACACAGATGTTTCTGCCAATTACCTTTGATTTCTGACAAACCTGGTCCAACAATATTTTTTCCTTTCAGGTTACTGAGGACTGAAAGGGGAATATTCCTGCTGGAGTGCTGATAGCAGGAAAAGGTTATGTATCTATGAGCAGAGTGGGGTTTTACATGGCGTGTCTGGAGCCATAATTTGGGTTTAATAAGGAAAGAGTCCAATGTGATTTCACAGAGTGAAGGTAATATTCTGCCCCAGCCAGCAAAGTTAAGACAAGAATGTGGCTTCATCAGAGGACCAGACTGAAGAATCAGCCACCAGAATATTTATTTCAGCACCCATAAATTAGGAAGTTAGATTTTCTTCTGGATAATACCTTCCTTTGAGAAACCTGCTAAATGCTGGGAGAAGGTCAGTCTGATGTTTGTCTGTCAGAGTTAGAGGCACTGGTAAGGCTGCTGTGCTGTGCCACAGCTGCAGTGGCAGATGCACACCTGCAGTCAGGAGAAGCCCAGGGGCTGCTGTGCTCCCAGCCCTGAGCTCCTGCAGGATGGGCACTGCCAGGGCTGGGGATGCCTTTCAGCTGTCCCTTCTGCTGTGCCTGCCCCTGCAGCAGGGCTGCCAGGAGCTGCCACCCCCTCCCAGCAGCTCCTGACACTCCTGGCTTCACCTGCAGAGCCCCAGAGCACTCAGGGCTGGGCACACCACTGCAGCTGCAGCCCAGCAGCAGGGCAGCCCTGCAGGCAGCAGCAGCGTGGGGCACAGCCCTCACTGCTGCCTCTGGGAGCCCCCGGCAGAGCTGGGTGCTCAGAGGCCTTTGCAGGGCTCTGACCCTGCTCCTGGCCTGGCTCGGGGCTGAGCCAGAGCGGGGACAGCTCCTCTCTGTGTCACAGAGACCCCTCTTTCTTCTTTCCCTGCTCAGCTGCATTTTGCCCATGCTACCTCTGCACGGTTGTGTCTCTGCAGGCTCCTGCTCTGCCCCGCTGGCACGGTGGAAGGCAGTTCACTGCCAGCCTGGGGACTGTCCCAGGGAGCCCAGGGAGGAGCAGGGCCCCTGCTGGCCCTCTCCTGGGGATGCAGGAGCTGTACCAAGTCAGGGATGAGGAGCTGTGACAATCCAGGGATGAGGAGCTGTGACAATCCAGGGATGAGGAGCTGTGACAATCCAGGGATGCAGGAGCTGTGCCAATCCAGGGATGCAAGAGCTGTAACAATCCAGGGATGCAGGAGCTGTAACAATCCAGGGATGAGGAGCTGTAACAATCCAGGGATGAGGAGCTGTGACAATCCAGGGATGAGGAGCTGTGACACACCCAGGGATGCAGGAGCTGTGACAATCCAGGGGTGCAGGAGCTGTGCCAATCCAGGGATGAGGAGCTGTGCCAAGTCAGGGATGCTGAGCTCTCCCAGCTGAGCCCAGCGTGCAGCCAGGCCTGGCAGGGCTGTGCTGTGTCTGAGTATCTCTGCAGGGCCAGCCCCATGGGATTCATGCCCCCTGACATATCCTTGACCAGGACACTTTTGCAGGACAGAATCTGTACGTAACAACCTCCTCTCTCCTAATAAATAATTCTCTCTTAAGCAAACTCTGCTGTCTGGGCTCTGGTTTTTTATCACTGCAGATATTGTAAGGGCTGTCTGTCCCACCATGGCTCAGCCTTCCCTGGCACAGGGACCCTTCTGGACTCAAATTCTCCTTTCCCTGTCCCCCTGGACCAGAGAGGGGCACCTTGAGTGGTCAGCCCCAGAGCAGCAGAGATGGGTGTCCCAGTTCCCTGTGGCCTCAGCTTGCTGCATGAAGGACACAAAGGGTGATGAGTTTTCCCAGCTCGGAAATGGCAGCTCTAAATGCTGCAGCTCAGTCTCCTCCTTGATGTAAGACCAACACTAAAACCACCATGGCTTTGTCTGACTTTGGCTCTGCAAAAATGACATATTAGTACAGTAGAAAGCCTATTTAAAATAAATTCGTTTCTTAGGGAAAAGACCTGCCATGCAATTTATCCTGAGTGACTCCAGCTTTGGCCTTTTTTCAGAAATTTTTGGAGAAAGTCCTTGACAACAAAAAATTTCCAATTGACAGAATAAGTATTTAAGACACGCTCTCCCCAGTCATGGGTGAGCAGAGCTGAGGCCTGGTTCATGCCTTTTGGATAGCAGCTCCTGAAATAAGCTGGGTTTGCTGCTGTACCATGGTTTTATTGCTGACCAGATCCAGTAGCAGATCTCACCCTGCTTTGAGGACACACCACATCATTTCAGGGGGCACTCAGTCACCACCTTCAGCTCCTCTCAAGGGAAAGTTTAAATATTAAAGGAAAACCCAAATTTGAAACACATTTGACATTAATCAGAGAAATTGATGTAATAAATTATTCTATTTCATCAGGAATTAGGAGACAACTTACAGGGTTCCCTTCAAAGATCATTATTAATGATTTGAAATTTAAGAGTCTTTATTACCACGTATGGAAAATTACTTTCAAGCACTCGTAGGCCTAATTTTTTTTCCCCAGTTATGTTTGGCATGTCTCAGCTAAATCCAGCAGCTGGGGCAGGGTGAATCCCCCTGTCCCAGGGTTTCTCAGCCCTGCCTGCTGCCACACTCACTTGTCCCTGGCAGAGGTCACAGGTCCCACATCGCTGCTGTGATTGCAGCAAGGAAGGGGAGATTCCCCTCCCTGCTGAGGAGAAGGACAAGGCAGGGAAGGGGAGGGAAGGAGGGGCTGGAGGGGCTGGGGAGGGCACGTTCTGCACGGGGAGGGCACGTTCTGTGTGGGGAGCAGCAGTTCAGTTCTGCACGGGGAGCAGCAGTTCAGTTCTGCACAGGGAGCAGCAGTGCAGTTCTGCACGGGGAGCAGCAGTGCAGTTCTGCACGGGGAGCAGCAGCAGTTCTGCATGGGGAGCAGCAGCAGTTCTGCATGGGGAGCAGCAGTGCAGTTCTGCACAGGGAGCAGCAGTGCAGTTCTGCATGGGGAGCAGCAGCAGTTCTGCACAGGGAGCAGCACTGCAGTTCTGCACAGGGAGCAGCAGTTCAGTTCTGCACGGGGAGCAGCAGTGCAGTTCTGCATGGGGAGCAGCAGCAGTTCTGCACGGGGAGCAGCAGTGCAGTTCTGCACAGGGAGCAGCAGTGCAGTTCTGCACAGGGAGCAGCAGCAGTGCCTGCACTGAGGCCAGCCCAGAGCTGCAGGACAGGAGAGCAGAGCCC